GAATCGGTGTCCTAGCACACCAAATGTGGTGATAAAGGTCCCTCCCACGCACCTGCATCTAATCACCTTTTCTGATAACTAATTGCTAAAATAAATTACTAAATGATTATTTGAACAAACAGAAGTTTAGGTAAAAACTGTATGACGAGACAAAAGTCAAAATCTAGAAAAAGATGATAAAAGGGTGTTACTTTTATTTTTTAATCAGGAAGATGTTCTATTTATTTACATGGGAGGGGGCAGACTTAGGCCTAGTCCACACGTAGCCGGGTTTTTTTTTTAAACGAATATCCGCCCCTCCAAAAACTTGCATCCACACACCGCGTTTTAAAAACAAACCCTGTCCACACGTACCCGGATAAATACGTTGTTAAGGACATGCCAGACCTGTAGGCGGCAGTACTTCCCCCGTTCTTAACCTCGTCCTTCGTCTGTGGTCTTCCGCAAGGAGCAGTAATTCCGCTTGCAAAAACAAACAAGCAAAAAGCGCTTGGACAATTGATGGATCGGGTAGTGACAGAGCGCAGCTCTGAGCGCTTCCATGATACCGGCTAGTGTAAACACAGGTCGCACACGTGATGTCAGCATTTTTTTGTCGCGGAAAGTGACGTTGCGGACCTTAAAACTCCGGTTTTGTCCGTCCACACGCAGACACCCAAAACGGAGAAAACATAGATCTTCACTTTGGCCGGAGTTTTTAAAAAACTCCGTTTTCGTGTGGACGACAGGCCAAAACGTAGAAAAATATCTACGTTTTGGCAGATCCCCGGCTACGTGTGGACAGGGCCTTAAACTGTAAACTACTGCCAGCCACCGGGGGAGTTTAAGCTTTTAGAGTCTAGTTATTACTCTATGGTATCAAAATGCTTCTTTAAAATTTACAGACATCATATGTGAAAACCATGGTACATAACAAGTGGAATTAGAAAAGAATGTTTTTAGCACCATTGACTTGCATTCATTTTTTTGTTCCTCCATGGACCCATGGTCCGGAAGTAGATGGGTGTGACTTAGGCACCCTATGACGCCGTGCCGTCTTCTCGTGCCTTCTCTCGTTTTGAACCCTGCTTTTTTCCAGTCAGAGAGCCACTCTGCCATTTATTAGTCATTTATTATAACCCTTCCACAATGTTTTCATGGCTCATAAACACATATGTCTAAATAAACAATTTTAAATTATTAAAAAATTAAACGTTGGTCTATCTTTTATACAGGATCTTGAGATACTATATTTTTCCACAGAAAAACATATTTGTCTCATCACCATAAGTTTAGACTAAATCCAAAGGAATTTTGGATTTCCCAGCTTCCACCCAGCATTCCAGTGCACCATGTACGCACAAATCAGTCAGGTGTGAAAAGAGTCTCAAGAGGATTTTTGTACTTGTAAACTGATCTGTGTGTAATGTAGTTTTGTCCGTGTGTACCAGGTGATTTGTTTGTGCGTATTCAATGATTTGAATATGTAGGAGCTGAAGTTACACATGAAAATGTAAACACAAGTTACAAATCAAGAGTTAATCACACACACACAAATCTTTAGTTAAGCACACACAAATTTAGATACACACATAAACTCAAATTTAGATACGCACACACAAATTTAGACACTCACACACAGATCTTTTGAGACTTTTTTCTCCCCATATTACTCTCCGTCAGCTCAAGTGCGGAGTCGCAAACCCTCATCGACGGAGATGTTTTCCTTTCAGACTTCTGTTACCGGGGAGAGATGCAAAGCAATTACCCATGGGGACGGGAGGTGAAGTCACGTCTCTGTTCCACAATCGTGTATTTATATTTGTGTGTGTGTGTGTTTATGCATTTCAGATTTTTTTTAACACTCCACTTATGCGTTCAGTCGTCACCTCCAAACCCACATTTCCCACAATGTTCTTCCATGGGAAGTTTGCTGCACCTCTTTGGACACCTTCATTCATGCATGTATAAAAAATTATACCACCAGACTTTTTACGTGAAATGTTTTTCGACCTGCCTCATGTGTGCTGCTGCATTATATATATATATATATATATATATATATATATATATATATATATATATATATATATATATATAGTTAAAGTCCAATAGTCATCATCACACACTGGTGAAATTACATCTCTGTATTTGACTCATGGGGAGCGGTGAGCTGCAGCAGTGACTGCGCTAGGGAACTATTTGGTGGTTTAACCCCCCAGTCCAACCCCTTGAAGCTGAGTATCAGGCAGGAAATTAGTGGGTCCCATTTTTTTGAAGTCTTTGGTATGACCCGACCGGGATTTAACCCTTGATCTCCCAGTCTCAGGGCGGACGCTCTACCATTAGGCCACTGTGAAGGTAAATGTAAATATAAAATCGTTATTTAAAATTCTGGCATTAAACATGGTCAGACTTGCACATCTCTTTGTGGAATGCTCGGCCTTCAACATGATGATGTGTAGCTTGGTCAGCAAAAAAAAAAGAAAAAAAAAAAGGTTCAGCTTCTTTCCGTGTAACTCCACAAGAGCAACCAACAGTCCTCTGCAGGATACTCACAGAGATGTTGAAGACGTACTTTTCACTGCAGTTAAGTGGTTCATTAACAACTCTGGTCGTTTCCCACCATAAATCAAGAAATTGTAAACTGTACTGAAAAGGAATTCAATTCATGTATCTTGAGTGTCTTTTCTTTGGCGTAATTAAGGAGTTTTATCTTCATATCAGGGTGTGGGTTCAATATGTAAACACTCGAACCACAGGATCAACATTCGGCTCAGCAAGTGCACTGGAACCGCTCTGTGGAGGGGAGATGAAACGAGCAAGAGCACCACGGGCACAGACGCTTGGAAGAGGATCTGAAGATCACGTCGTTTAGCTACAAAACCCATTCTCGCTTGCACCAGTTCTACTTTGTTTCTTCTTAATAATTAGTGCTGTGCCACAGATGTGCATTTCTCCCTTTTCACCCAGGTCCGTAATCTAAATGTGAAGGACGTGAGGATTTAAAGCAAGTGTCATATGCTTTCTATTTGATGAAGCCATTAAAATCCAGGATGGATTAAAGCCGAGTGGCTCGTGTGAGGAAAGGCTTATTTAGGAACTTAAATTAGTTTGATGAATCCTAACATATGGGCAAGAAGAGAAGAAAAATGGGACTTTGAAAGTTTTATTGCTTGTTGACTCATCCTGTTTCTTTCAGCCTTTTTGAGTTGACCCTAAAACTTGCAAAGAGCTCCGATGAAGTAAAGAAAAATCCGGGTCATCCAAGGCCAAAATGATCTGGATATCCTGTTTCCCACCATGAATTAATCATTGTGCACATAAACAAGCATGAAACACAAGCTTTTAGCCGTATTATTCAAACGTGATGAGTGAAATCACATGAGATCAGGTATGAAGACTGATTCACAGCTCTCTTTCATCTTAAAACACAGAGAAAAAATTACATATGTTAAGGTTGGAGCTGAGGCATGACATTTTGATTCAGTTTATTTGAAAAGTGGAAATTAAATTCATTTATGATGTAAACATATCCGCCCTCGAAGTTACAAGTGCCGCCAGTGGCTGTGCCATCGACCAAACGCAGGAACTCGCCTGCTTTGACTCCGGATTCAGCTGTAAACATTTCCACGCAGTGCAAACCAAGCCCAGCGCTGTTATTGATGAGATTTCAGAAACAAGTATCCTGGATTCCTTCAAATAGGCAGCGGCGGGCAGGGGGGGGGACCTCTAACCTGCTGCTTCCTGACTCTCATCTCTCCCTGGTGAGCTCTAGTTGTGGCATTTTTCTCAATCACAGGTCCTGGAAGCAGGCCGTTTACCTCGTAACGCAGCTTAGATTTCTGTGTGAAATGCTCAATATATAGTGATAGTTTGAGGGCTGTTGTTTCGTTGGGGGGGGGGGGGGTCCCTGGGGGACCACACAGCTGGTCTGTAGTAATTTCAGTGCAAGAGAGCATGGAAGAAGAAAAAAGGCTGGTGCAGAAGGTAGAGTGACTGCAAATGGGGTGTTTCAGCAACCCTGATGGATGTCATGCTGTGTTACTGCTCCAGCCCAGGTGTGCAGGTCAAGTCTTGTGAAACATAAAACAGCGTTTGCATCAACACTTGGAGCCTCAGACTTGGAAAGCATCCTTCTTTCTGTGAAGTCTCATTCCAGCGCTCCGTTGCTCTCCCGATCTCCATCAGTCCTCTTCTATAAGCATAGTTTGATTTGGGGTTTGTCTCCACCTAGTGGTGAATATTACTGGACTTGTGCACAAAAAGTATCATTTACATATCAATACATAAATCTAATAAGCCTCAAAACTCAGCAAATACGATAATCATTGAAGAACACATTACACATGGTGTTTACTGGCAAATATATTTAAGGGTTATGGTTGGAATATTGTTTCTTCCTCTGCTGTATTTTTTCAGCACTTCGGTATTAGTTTGCTATACTCACAAAAGAACAATTCCACTTTTTTATATTTACTCAGGTTATCTGTGTCTTACACTGAAATGGGTTTGCTAATGAAGTGTGGGGAAAAAAACAGAAACCTGTAAGGGGGCACATTCTTTTTGACAGCACTATTTATCCTTCTCTTCCACAGATATAGTCCCGTTATATCTGAGGTGAGGACATAAAAAAAAGAACAAGATGGAGACAGTCTGGATGAGAGAGAAGTAATAAAGTTAGACATTCTGACTTTGGAAATGTAATTTTGATCTGACATTAATAAAACACGACACGGACACAGCTGCACTTGTGTTTTGTTTCAGATTATTATTTACTCATATTCCAGTTTACTCCCTGAGATGATGTGAAAACCACCTGTCACCTGTGTGTTGTTGACCTATCACCTGCATGTTTTACGGTCTTCTCAGATGTTTTAGGGCAGTACAAATCATCTTCCAAACCCCTAAAGCACGCGTTGGTCCTGCTCACAGTGGTTTTCTTGAACGTAATCTCACCTTAATTTCCAACAGGTTGAGGCACAAAACAGAATAACAAAATAAATAAACTACTAAGATGGTAATATCTCATCCATTTATTTCTTAAACATAGGAAAGGGACTTCTAGGTAAGAAAAATAATTTAAAACCAAGTGCACTTCAACATCTCAGTTTACACGGGGCCGACCCCTTTCAACAGTTCGAAGTGAAATACACAAACTCAAAAGCATCTCTAATCGATCGGTACTGTAAGGCTTTGGGTGATGATGAGGTGACAAACATCTGCAGCAAATCTCACAAAGACCTCTGCGACATCTTGTGACAAGACAAAACCATGTAGCACACTCCAAAGGAGTCAGGCAGCTTGCTCATTTGTGCTAAAATGCCTGCTTTAAGCCAGTTATCAGAATGAAGCTGAGAAGATGAGGACAGATGTGCTGTTTTCTGGGCCAAACGGTATTTGTAAGTAATTTCCAACAAATGTTTGAAATAGTTCCAAAGGGTAGAGATTACTACATCGTGGACAATTTAGAGAAGTTAAAACCAGATGGGTTTCCATGCTGTAAGATATCAACTGACCATCATCTCACACCACTTGAGACTGTGGATGTAGGTGAAAATCACAGGAAATGACTTTTAAAAGTCCATTTAGGTGCTTTTAACTACCTGGTTGTGTTGGACTGATTCAACAAGCCTCCACTGCTCTGCTAATGAGTTACAATTACAGTTGTGGCCCAGTGCCGACTACCCACATGTAGGTGAATGATCCAAAAGCAACATGGTGAATGGCTGGAGAAGTACGTCACAAGCACACCTTCGGTATTGTACGGATGATTTCAGAAAATAATAAATCTTTGTTTAAAAGCAAAAATAATTAAACTTCTACTATTTAACAGAAAAATTCATAACACCAACCAAACGTCACTCAAAAATAAAGAATAAAATCTACAGTTTTGACTTTACATTCAAACACTGTCCGATCTTTACACTGTAGTAGTATAGGCCGGTTAGAATAACAAAATGCAGCAATTCACATTAATTCACCTTGTGTTACATACTCAGCATATATACCAGTATACATTAACAGCATTTCACATTCTTGGTAATACATAACATCATCCACAGAACAATGCTGGTATCAGGTAAACAGACAGGGATAAAATGTGGCAAAACATGGAGAAAGATTACAGATGTCATGAAAAAATAAAGTGTAAATATGAGTTGAACAGGTGGCAGTGTTACTGAGAAAAAGAGACATGATCGCTTTTTTAACTATTTTCTCATATGTTTTGTTTACCTTGGTGGCAGAAAGCCTATTGGTGACTTTGGCTAATGGTTACCAAAATTGGTTTGTACATTGGAAAATGTCTGACTCAACAATTCTGTGTAGACAGTTGATTTTGCCATACATTTGATCCAATTCCAAAACTTTCAGCAAATTTAGATGAATTGTGGCATTAAAATCTAACCAGAAGAAATTTTGTTTAACCTTGTGTAGTCCGATGGAAGGCAGTGCAAATGTGACCATTCAGATAAGTGAAATCCAGAACCATCCGACTATGTGGTGCAGGTTTTAAGATGTTTTTGTGCAGCATAGTGACAATTTAGTTTACTGAGCTGAGAGTGATGCTGTTCTCTGTCCAAGTATGAAGAGGGGTGTAAAATGAGCTGAAGGGAAATGAAGCGTGCATCGTAACACATGCATCGAATTAAACCCAAAAGCAATCCTAAATATTAACTCCTGTTGCCTGATTTTTCCCCCCAAGCATTTTTGCAGGTAAAACTAAATATGCAGCTTTAGATCAATGTTTTCACATGACCAAAAGTAAAGTGTTGACGTTGTGCATGAACCAGAAATATTGCACATGTGTTCTTGTGTAGCAGACTGAACTTACTTTTATCACCTTGTGAGTATATTACCATATCTGGCTCAAGAGAGCACATAATAGGACAGATGGTGTATGTCTGGAGTCTAAATAGTGGATTTTATGACATAAGAGGACTTTCAAACTACCCCTTATCTGTACTCACATAATTGTTTACCATTTATTACATTACATGTTCTAGAAAGAGTAATTGTGGAGAAATACCCTGAAAGTAGAATTTAGCCACTGGGGGGCGACAGAGGCGACATGTTTAAACAACAGCTGTTAGATTTCTGTTTCAATAGATCTGTACATCAGAGGCAAAGATCCAATTAACATTCCAAAATGGGTCAATTTAAAAAGACTGCTAAGTATAAGAAATCTTTCAGGGATTTTTTTTTATTTTGTCTCATGTAATTTCATTATTTAGGCTGATTAGTAATATGCAGGGGTGAACCTTCCTGTCAGATGTGATGAGTGAATGAGTGAAATTATTGCAAATAATTACAAAGAACGTTTTAATGTGGTGCAACATGTACAATCTCTGCATTCTTCAAACAAACATGGATTTCTTTACCAAAACATCCAGTATGATGTGTTTGTTTAGTGACAATCCAATTGCACCTTTGCTGCCACAAGTAACGTATTTCATGAAAAAAGTACAACCTATGTTGATAAAAACACAGGGAACCCAGTAAAAAATTACAATTACACGTTTTACATGCACATCATATCTGAATGTCGATGCATATGTACTTACTATGAAACAAAAAATGAATATACAAACATGATAGTTGAGACAAACCGACGATACCTACAGATTATAGACACATTGCTTGTACATTCATATATGTCAACACATAAATATGTATATACAGTATACATATATATTTATATTTGAATGTATACAGATATATAAAAGGAGGAATAAATAGTGCCATTAATGAGGTGAAAAAAAAAACTTCCACACGGACTCAGAGAAATATAAACTCTGAAACCTGAAATACAGAGGCTGAAGCAACTAGGAGTTAGAAACACTTAACTTGTCTTCCTCGTGTTAGCTTTAGATTACAAGTTAATAATGAACTATTGAGCTAAAGCTGTTATACGCAGCGAGTTGGGTTAGTCAGATTCAGTGCCTTTACATTCTAGATATCTGATAAGAGTATTGACATATATAGCAATGCTTTGATGCAGACAAACACAAAAAGGCTTTTTTTATGTGTGCATAACTCTTGTTTGGCACACATTCGGGAGTGGAACGAGTGACATGTTGTGTGTGGACTTCTGACAAACTGTGTTGATGAAACAGTGGTGTTTGATACCTGCTGAATGGCTGTGAGGGAACTGGCAGTGGAAAACTCTCCGGTGTGATGACTGAAACCTTAAGCCAACAGTATCCTTTCAGCCTGACTCACTGTGGCACTACAAGCCTCTGGTTTGAAATTGACTTTAAAAATCTTCTTGAACAGACAAATAAATCTGAGAATACTTCTTTATATTTAGGAGTTCAGCTGAAAGTCTGACCATGATTAAATCTCCTTCATGAAGAAATTGCCAACAAAGCACTCAGCTTTCTTGTAAACTGAGTGGAAGTAAGCTTGTTGGGCTAAAAGTGTGACCAGCAAACTATGCATGACATTATTAGTTTAAAATTACATTATATGACCATTTCAGTTCAAATTCCCAGCAAGAACCTGTGGCGCCTACTCAATGCAGCTTGATGCACTTCCAGAGCTTTTGCACCTTGTATCGGGTCCATGGTTGCCTCTTTCATTTAGAATTAACTTCACTGGCGAACCAAGTGGACAGCGCCAGACTGAAAACACAACATCATAAGATTGTTGGTCACTGATTGGCTAGGGGCGGTGGAGTGAAGTCACCTACACTCTCCTGGCCATCTCCAGGGTGTTTTGCCTCACTGCCTGCTGCCTTTTCTTTGTGTCTTTTGTTTTTGGAGTCTGACCAAAATATCTCCTCGCTCTACTTTGTGTTGCGTATAAATCATCTCAAGCTAGGTTTTAGGGGCTGCCCAGTCACTGCAGTTGTTTCTCAATTGGAAAACCACCTGAACTGTGTAGAGTTGAATTGAGTTGACTCTATGTTGGCTTAAAGTGACAATGTGTAGTTTTTACCATTAATCTCTAGAAATATCCATTGAAATGTTGTAAATGAATTAAAAGATACCCAGTTTAGAAAAATATTGGCGGTTTCATAACATATAACCATAAACATTGGGTCTTAAGTACATGGGAGCGGGTCTAAGTCTCTGGGTGACGCCATATTGGATGCCATGCAGTGGTGGATTTAGCAATTTGGGGGCCCAAGGCTAACACAGACATGGGGCCCCCTTACACTAAATTTTCGACAATCTTATCTTTAACTGGATTTGCAAAACTCTCCCCTCTTCTGACATGAGTTATCTTCACTTTTTATTAGTCCTCCTCTTTTTTCCTGTCTTTCTCTCCCTTTGAGTGCTTTCAATATTTGCTCTGCTTTCTTCTTCCTGTCTGTGCTCCTGTGCTTTTGCCTTTCTTTTTTTTCTTCTTCTATTTTCCATTTTGGTCTACGTTTTCCTCCCTTGAAACATTTTCCATTGTTTTTCCTTTCTGCTTCCTTTTGATGTTTACATTGAGAAAAAAAATGTCACTTTCGGAGGTGAAGATAAAAGCTTTTTTAAAGCAAGCTGCTTCATTCTCTTATTGGAGCCACTAGGATAACTCCATGTCATGCTTAATGTTTTGACTACTGCTTTTAGTTTGTTACGAACGCTCCCGCCTCACTTCTTTTTTCTGCTTTCTCTTCTTCTTCTTATTTGTGGTGTCATGGCACTTGGCAAACAACAATTTGGTGAATTACTGCCACCAACTTGATTGGAGTGGAATGACTACCAATCACTTCCTGTTTGTGCATCGGCGTCTTAAAGGAATAGTCCAATGTGGCATTAATAGAGGGGTGCCAGAAGTCAGGACTAGGGGCCCCCCAACATAATGGGCCCCCAGGCGGCCACCGACCTATGCCTAATGGTAAAACCGCCACTGATGCCATGTTTCCTTCTATGGAAGCCCATGAGGACAGAATGCATTTACTGATGTGTAACAAATGGTTACAAAACTTTCAGCATTAATAAACGTTGTTCTTTTACACATTTAGCTATTCACTTGTTGCAAGTGATGAAAGGGAATCTGATGTTCTTGTTGTTTTGCTGGAGGTTGCACTCCCAAGGATTTTTGACCCTAAGCGCCATCTGTTGGTATTGTCGTACTTGAACACAAAAACAATGCTTGCTTACAATGATTTAGGTATCTACTGCCCCTTACTGCCAGGGAAACTGAACACTGTCACTTTAAGAAAAAAATAATTTAATTTGTCCTTTAATTGTGTTGCTGAGAAAAAGCAGTGTTTATATGTTGCATGTGGAATACTTAAGTACACTGTGTAAACACAGTTTGACGCACAAAAAAGTATTTTCAAACTTTAAAAAAAAGGTAAGAAAACAGTTAGGAGTTTTCAGACAGAAGCACTGCTGTTGATGTGGTCAGATGCATTTTCAGTCACTTTTGAACATTACAAGCCCGCTCCATCCAAGTTTCTTTAATTCAAAAAGAAAACAAATCATCTTTACAACCAGCAAACTCAAACTGAAAACGTGAAAATGTATATTAAAGCCTGAATTTTCCACTTGTATCATAACAATAATTAAAAGCATTAAGGTGCTTTTTATAATAAATTAATAGCGGTGATACCGGTGGTGAAGAAAATGTAACTTTTGTTTGAATGATTTATTGTACTAAGGTCTTACTAATGCATTAAAATCAACAGAATAACGTAATTTGAAGATGATACTTGAAGAGCCTTTTTTAAAATTAGGTTTACCCATAATGCCAATTATTTAAAGATGCATAACTAAAGAGAAAACCTGACTTTAAATATTACTCATCCTTCAATTTTTCTCTCTAAAAGCAACAGCATTTAGATTTTATTCTTACATTAATAATAATAATGATAATAATAATAATAATAATAATGATAATATTTCTCTAGTTTAAATTTTTTTTGATTTAGGCTCTTTTCATTGTAGATGCTAACTGGTTCCACAATCTAACTAAAAGGAACGTTCATCACATCCGTAGCGAAATGCGGTTACAACGTGAGTAGTCCACGCAGCTCTTTACTTTTAATTAGCTCGACCCTCACGGTTCCTCGGTGCCGCTCTCTTTGTACCAGCAGTCACGTTCACTGTCAGCATTGTCAAACTAGAGGCAAAAACTGAAACGGTACACAGAGCTACAGTCGGAGCTGGGATGCAGATGAACGTGAGAAATTCTTTTCGTTTTTGTGCATTAAACATCAGAGCAGAAACAGAACACCTTAACTGGATTGAATCTGGGAATCTTCTACAGTTTTTATGGAATGTTTGGAATTGTCTTCCATCCACTCACGTCTTTCTTAGTTCCATCATGCCATCCAGTATTTAGGAGTTGGTTTGGAATTAATGGAGCGCTCCTGCCCACTGAGACATCACTGACATTCCGGCAGTGAAAAACTATGGAATGATTGTGCTATATTCTTCTGTTCTGTATAAATTTGTAGTTTTCACTTTATTAACTTGTTGGAAATAAAGGAATGCTTAAAGTACCTTAGCTAGAGCTTTCCAAGTGGTGTGCAGCATATTCTGCTGACATGTGTAATGTAAAAGAGGGTACAGATAGTGTTATTAGTTTTTGAAATCAAACTCTACATACCAGTGAAAAGAAAGAAAGTAAAATGTGTTTGTTATGACCAATAATGATCTCAGAATACCCCTGATATGTTGGATGGGTGCTGGTTTGGTCGGGGTGGGACTGGCCTCTAAAAGCCCATGAAAGGCCTGATGTGAGGAGACAGAGGGTCCTTTCATTTTCACACCTCTCCTGCTTTCATTTAGTCTTTATTTTTCCCACCTCCCCATTCAGCTTGCCTTCCTTCGCCAGCTTCTCATTCAGTTGGCACAGTTGGCGGAGGAAGCCATCGTTAGGACCGATCTCCCTCTTCTGCCTCACAGTGCGCAGTGCCTGCCGGACATCCATTTTGTGGCGCAGCATGAGGTAAGCAACCACCATGGTTGGAGAACGGCTGTAGCCTTCTCTGCAGTGTACATACACCTTCCCTGGAGGGCACAGAGACACATAAGATCCAAAAATATAGTTAGGTTGTTTTTTGAAGGGAAACCCCAGGTGAGGTAGTTAGTAACCAAGTCATCTTCACTGGCTGCTATCGGGACTCAGTTTTGTTTTACCTTTCCATTGACCAATTAATCATGCCATTTGTTGCTATTAAAATATATTTTTAAATATTTGAATTATTTGTTTGTTTACTTTGAATCTCAGAGTGACTAGGTCCCAACACACAGGCAGCTGATACGTTGCTCTCTGTTCTGAGAGATCAACACAGATAATGTTCTTGCACAGGTGCTGCTATTGATTGACTCTAATCTCAAGGCTGTGATGAACACAAACTGCAACTTTCTGTTATTTTTCTCCTTCTCCTCCTTGTAGGTAAATGTAACAACATAGCTTTTCTCTTAACAACTTAATAAATAAATGTTGCATTGAAGCTGCAGCTGCAAAAAATGCTTCTCCTGGACCTCGGACGCAGGAGAAGTTGTGGCTTTCTCCATGTTATGGAACACCAGAACAGATATTAATCCCTGCAGCTTTTGTGACTTTTACACGTTTCTGTTGTCAGTACTACTAGTATAACACCATTGATTATTGCATTTGCAGTTTTCCATTCATTTTCCAATTCCCTGTAAATATTCGGCTATCTTTTTCCACATAATATTTCATTAACTTTATTTCTTAAAATGTTAATAAATTCAACATTTTGAATCTTTTAAGTACTTCTATATTGTTGGTTTTTTATTTTGTCTTTATTTTTCACTTTTCTTTGCTTCCTGCTTTTTGCACAAATGTCACTCCCACAAAGTCTGCTGGTGGTCGTGGAAATGTGGACGCCCAGTCTGTATTTTATGTAAATCAGGAAATCTTAAAATGTTTCCATTGGGGGACTTTTTTACTGCTGAGGACTATCGGACCCCTGGTTTTATTTTGCAGGCTGTCTGGCAAAATCAAAACAAGATTTGTTTGCATCCTCTGCACAAAAATCAATGCAGGAAATCATGAAACACACACACACACACACATATGCAATTAACCCTCTCAGGCGCAAAATAAGTTTTGATAAAAGGACGAAAAACTAAGTCCTTCAGGAAATGCTCATGAAATACGTATGTGGAGTAACCAGGTAAGTAGGTTTTAACGTTGCAGATCTGCAACACCTGCCTCCAGAGGGTTAAAGCAAACAACTAGGGATGTCCCGCTCCGATATTGATATCGGCCCAAAAACACTATCGAATTATATTGGACTGCATCAAAAGTCTTCGTTATTAGCATTTTGTTCTGATTAAAATTCCATTCCAGCAGTTCTATCCAGCAGCGCCCAGATCCAGCATGCAAAGTCCATGTGATCAGAACTGTGTGTGCTAGCTAAGTAGCAAGAAACAATATCAGCCATGTCGTTGTATTTTTCGTTGAAGTCTGAAAAGACATTGTGGCTCAGTGCAGCACTTGTCATGCACAAGTTTCTCATAGTAGAACAGAACCGGGGAAGATGAACACGTCCAAACTCATCGTGCATTTGAAGCAGATTCACAAAACATTGCATGAGGATTTTCTCTTGTGTGTGAAATTGAAACTTGACACTCAACTTGTAGCAGTTGGTCAGTGAAAAATTATTTTCTTCCTCATGTCCCTAACCTCAGCTGTTTACATTTATGCAACCAAATGTTAATCAAAAATTGGTCAGTTTTTTATACTTACTGTTGCTGGCTTTTTTCTGTTTGAGTAATATCACTTAAGCCTTTTATACATTCCAAACTATGAAATAGGTACAAGTATGTATGATTTGTGCTGATATATCAGATTGATATGGGTATCGGTCAATACTGAAGGATGCAATATCGGTGTCGTATCGGAAGTGAAAAAAGTTGTATCAGGACATCCCTACAAGCAACACATGATTGCTCTGATAAAAGTATGTTTAAATTAACTTTCTCTTTTAAAGAAACTTAAAATGGAAAACAACACTTTCAAAGCATGATTTTTTCATTTATTGTATTGTTTTAAAATGTGGTTGCTGAAAAAGCTGAGGAGAAACGAGGACAGTACAAAGAAATAAAAAAGAAATTAAAAGTTGGGAAACACAAGCAGCACCTAAAGCTGCTGAGCGCAGCAGCTTTCCTGCCAGGAGATGCAAATATCAGACCTGACCTCTGCTGCAGACTCTACGGAGTCAATCATCTTCACTGCAGTCACATGCTACAGCGAAGTCACGCCCAGTGAGAGAGGAGCAGAATATACTTGGGTGTCTTTAGACTAATGAATCTGTTACACTGTCATTACAGAACAAATGAAAAGCCCACGAGGGATTTTCACAGAGCAGGTGAGGCTCTGAGCTCAGGTCAGATCTGCAGATTCGGCTCTTTCCTTGAAACCCAACCCCTCTGTGAGTCCGTCTTCGGCTTGATTCTATTTATACCATCTTGTCTCATTTCCTCTTCTCTGCATTGATTGAGAATTAACTCCTGCCAATGACATGACCTCCTCAATACAAAATCCGCTCGCTTGCCACAGATCAATGCTGAATCCAGTCTATCTTCTTGTTGACACACTGGATCTTTGGCAGAAAACCTCCCTCATTTTCTCACCCTTTGACTTCAGATGTCTCTGTTTTTATGTGCTTTCTTTAGAGACGAGTCTTTTTCCAAGTCAAGTCTACAAGAGTCAAATCTAAAGTCTGTGTGGGCCAAGTGCAAATTAAGTCAAAGACTGAAGGTCCAAATCAAATCTCAAGATATTTGAGGACCAAGTCGAGTTGAAGTCTAAATTATAATTTCATATATTAAACACTTATTTGTGTTTTTTCTCTATGTTTACAATCTGCTCCTTAAAGAAAACATCTTTAACCCTCCCACTGTCTTTATGGGTGACCCCGCGAGGAAAGTTGACCATTGAGCAGGATGGATGGTTTATCCCTTGAGGTCCACGTAGCAGGGGTGAGGTGGTGTTCACTCCTCACCCCTGCCACATGGACCCAAGGGATAAACCATCAACCCTGCTCAATGGTCAACTTTCCTCGCGGGGTCACACCCATTAGGACAGTGGGAGGGTTAAAGCTGCTTTACCAAATCTGCAAAACAAGCAAGCTTTTAAAATCAAACACGACCGCATAACTCTCAATCTTCCCGTCGGCTATTATCCTTGGGCCATGTCTGCCTGATAAGGGAAGAGCATCGCCACAGTGAACAAGAAAGCACTAAACAGCGGTTGCCATTTTCTGGGTATAGACGTCTTTTGTTGTTTGTGACTTCAAATGATGTTATTCTTTTTGGGACTTTGGTAGTTTGTCCTAAAATTAAAGTTAGCTGTTAATTAAATATCTTATCTTTGTTTCAATAATCAGCTTCAATGAACAGCTTGGGTGGGGCAAATCCATCCTGCTCAGCTGAATCTGGACCAGAGTTAACAGGCAGCAGCTAAAATGGAGTTCAATAAAATAAATGCTGTTATAGGAATATACTGGTTATTGACTAGATTGTACAACTAGTACTAACTAGTATTGCTCCATTACATTGTAACCACATTTTAATAGCGAACTAAAAATAAAGACTTATCAGATTATTTGATTAGTAGTTGGATTACAGTGGCAGATCAATCGGTTGTAAAATATACAATAACCGCAGCCCTAAAGTAAATCCACTTCACACAATCTAGCTTCCCTTTAAGGGAGAAAGCATTAGTGCAGTTCCTCATTAAAAAATCCCAGTTGTGACCTTTTCAGAGCTTACAGCCGAGTCACAAAATGCCACAGCTAATATTGCACAAAGTACATCATCTCACTGCAGCAACACCAGACAGAAACACGGATTCAACCATCTTTCATCCTCTCCCCTCCACAACTTCTTCACTCGTGATTTACTTCCAAACTGATGCAAAACTGCCAGGCAATCAAAATCCCTTCCTTTGCCAAAGCTGGAAATAAATCCATGACAATAAAAACAAGATGAAGCACATCCTTCACACGTGGTAACTACGTTTTCTTGCAGCTATAGAGCTCCGGACATCACGTGACTCTCAGAGAGTAGACGCCATGTTGGCAGGCAACAAAAGTAAACAAAATTAATGGGATCGGCTTGTATTTTACTCCATCTGAGTTTACTTCACACTTTAAAAATGAAGAAATCGTTTTATATAGTCAGAAATTAAATAGACTAAACATCTCCGACCCTTACCGTGCCCCTGGGATACATTTTTAAAACACCGCGGGCGGGCGGACGGACGGACGGACGGACGGATGGATGGATGGATGGGCAAATAACATAGATTTACATGTCAGAAGTTTAAATAGAGTGCTGTGCTGTTTGAATGTATAAACTGAACTCCAAGAGAAATCACTAGTCTGATTTTTTTCCGTGAATAAAATAAATATGTCAGGCAGGAGCGTCTCAGGATCTGTCTCAGACCTGTTTCGGTGAGACAGATAATAGCAATCCAAAGTGCTTTTTATGTGTGATCTGACAATTGATCAACCATTGCTTAAAAATTAAATACAACTTAGCCGGTTAATTGCTGTGATCATAAAACACGTAAACGGCAGCACGCAGAAATAACGAGGCAATGTTTTACGTGATGTTTACTTGTTGCTATGAGTAATAAGACAGAAAAAGCCACGCCAAAATAAGTTTAGGAAGCCCACTAAGAATCGTAATAAAAGCATTTAAAATAAATACCATACACAGTTGAGGAAACGTTGGTTTAAGTACCTGATATGAAGTGGTCGCTGCATACGCGAAAACCTTTACTCTCGGGATCCCACAGTTTCATTTCAGCCCGGTCACTAGCGCGTTTTATTGCAACGATCCAACGTTTTGCGGCGTTTCGGATCTTGGGGAATCCTGTAGATGGCTCATCCCTTATGTCGTCTGTGTCTGTTCTGCATCCTGGGGCACAACAGGAATCTACCATATTTCCCGTCTGATTGAGTTTTCTAGCAATAACAAAATAGTCCAGCTGCGGGCTTCTGCCTGCCAAGATGGCGCTGTTTCGATTTGAACTGTTGCATGCCGGGAGAAGTGAAGTCAACTCCCGGAGCTCTATAGAGGGAAAAAAAGCTAAAAGTTGTTTTTTCTTTCCTAGTAAGGAGGTTTGAGTTCTCCTGGGATTAAATGTTTTTTCAGTTCAACTTAAAAAATATATTTAAAAAGTCTTTGTTGCAGTATCGCACACCTGACCCAGTAAAAACATCAACCTTAAGGCCAAGTTCCCTCTTTGTTGTTTTTTATTTATTTACTGCAGTAGTTTTTATTGTACAAACTCTAAAAGCAATACAGAACATGTTTAGCTAAAATTATTTTCAGGTGTGTAAAGCATGAGACCTTTTGACAACCAGAGACATGAACTGATGTTGGAATATAGAGCAGGGCTCAAGAGTGTCAGCTTTAACCTCATTATTCTTTTCTGTCTTCACTTCATGATCTGTGTTATTAAAGGACCCTTTAGATTCTCAAAGCTTTTGTTAGTTGAGCAGCAGCAAGCTGCTGGTTTCTGCCTCAGTTTGTTGGTGTGAATCAGGTAAAAGCAGCAGAAGCCAGAAAGATCCTGCTGATGTCTACTCCTATAAGGTTTTGAACTACCCCTTTAATCCCTTTTGTTTATAAGTCTACACTAGAACATCCTGAAACCGAAATGTAACGTAACAAGGTGGGTACAGAGACAAACTCACCTTTGCCATTATTGTGCGCTAGTCCTTTGTCAATAAAATCAGCTCCCTCCTCAAAGAAGGCACTGAGGTTGAACTTTTCTGTGTCGTTGGCCGAGATGCCATGGTACGTGATGCCGGTGCCGGCGTAGAACTCGGTACTAGTGTTGACATGCATGAAGGAGGTACCTTCTGCCACGTTGAGGACATGCGTCACTCCAAGTTTCTGCAGACGCATTGTGTTGTGAGCTACAAACCTGAGTGGAGAAGATCAATGATAAGAGCTAAAAACAGACAGGGACCAATCACATAGACATGATATGTTGTTATACCTACGACAAACATGCAGAACTTAAACTAGGTCAGCACCTACAGGGATTTAGAGTTCAAGATAAAATAAGACCAGATTCTTAGGTTCTATGTTATTGTAGAAATCTGCAACATTTCAAAGCATTTCATCAGAAATGGTTCCATAATGATGTTCAAGATAGGGCTGGGCGATATGGCCTAAAATAATTCAGTGTTTCCCTTACATAGGCGTTGCGGCCCGCCATGGCTGAAATCCCAGCGCCATGCCTACGAGATCTCACACCCACACACACACAGAGAGAGAGAGAGAGACGGAAGGGAAGCGCTCCACGCTTAACTATTTGATGTAAATGTCTAATATATCCAACATTTGCCTCCTCATCTTTCCTCTTTCTGCATCGTCCTCCAGCCAGTAACCTGATAATTGTCTCTGCAAACTGTTGTAATTCTAACAGTTCAGAGGAAAGAGGAGACCTGAGTGTGTAAGTGTATCATTATGTTACAATACACTACATGATAGGGATGATAGAAGAATGCTGTACTTTCTGCAGTAATCAGTTCAGTGCCTGACCACAAATGTAAAACACTCACAAGTTCAAGGATTTCTGTCCATATGACCTCACTGCAACATTTCAATTTTGTTTCTACAAATCGCCAACATTTCTACCTACTTTGCACCCATTTTCCTTCAACTATGCTGACTGTTTTATTAAAGCCCACAAACCTGAGGATCTTTTACCAAGTTATTGCACTGAGAGATTTTTGGGAGTTTTATGCTAATGAAGCTGCTCTTTTCACCAAATCCAAACCTAAAAATCTTAAATGTTTAGCGACCTTAATGAGACATTTAACAAATTGGTTTCACGAAAAGAATCATCTCTATACCAATAGGCAAGAATTATGAGGCAGTAAACAAAAAAAATGGATCAAGAAGTAGAGAAATACATTATTTCAAGCATTTGCTTAATTTATTTTTCAAAAAAACTACAACAAATCTATTTTCACATTTATTTTCACTTGGTGGGTGCTTCAGGTCCATCTTCATCCTCTACACTTCCAGAACACAATAAATCCATTTCTCTTCAGCTCCACCTCTAAAACGTCTTTAAGAGCAGCAATACAGTACATCAGATCTATACAGCTAACAAACTAAAACAAGAGCAACACAGGATTCTGGCTACTCCTGCTTGGCCCAGTGCCTGTAACCTCTTTACTATCCAATCTCGCTGAAGGCCCTGCCCATTGATTGGAAAATAAAATGTCTCCTTGTGTATTAACATTGCAAGTTGTCTCTGTGTTTTATGGAGCATTTAGCGTCACTAATTACACAATATCTATGTTTGGTTAACAGAAACAGAACCATGTTGTTAAGTAATATTAAAGGGGGTATACTGTGCAAAACTCACTTTTTGTTCATTCTGTGCACCTTTAAACATCCCGTGGAGGTATGGGGTGTGACGGTATGCTAAACTTCTGTTCGGTTCAGTTCAGTGTTTTGAAGGGCTCGGTTCGATTCATTTCCGGTATATTATTATTATTAGATTTATTTATTTAATATCTGACGTGGCTCCTATAGTGAGCAGAACCAGGTGACATCACAGGCTGCTAATCTAGCATGATGTCTCTAATTATTTCACAGGTTATTTGTGCCACAGACATATATACGTAGATGCCCCATGGACTGGCGCTGTCAATTAGAGATGCTTTAATGGCTGACCGCCATTTTACATAGATTAACCCCAGTGCATTCATTTCTACTGAGGAAGGTGCTTACCCAACTAAAAAACAAATTTTATCAAGCTTTTTCACAAAATCAAACACAAGATACGGCATGAAAATTAAAATATAAATATAATTAAGGGGACTTTACGGAGTTTTTAATTTTTATGCTCGCGATTGCCCCCTCAGGCCAAAAGCGTAACGACAGCTTCAATAGTAGGCTTGTGCACGAGGCGCGCATGCTGTACGTGCACACTCTTCAAAGGGGCATTATGGAAGTTTGACAGCCATAACATGTATAGAAATAATACATTTCTTCTTCATACATTCTTCTGCAATGTCCTGGTCCTGTAGAATGAGCCCTGGCATTTTTACTGTGATTGCCTGTTTTTCTGTAAAATCACAGAAAAAGAGAGCTGCTCGGGTCGAGCAGGCTGCTTCATGCGCGTTCACGCTCAGGCATAGCCCGTAGCATTTGCCATCAATAGCTTTAGCAGCAGAGAGTGAGGTAGTACCAACTCAGCGACTTTGTCGCTGTTCCTAACGCCTAGTGATGAACCTAGCTACATTTCTGAGGACCCTTAGCTACTTTCTTCTAGATATTTCCTGCAAATTAGCAACAAAATAGCCGTTTTAGCTCCGAACCGTTCTTTGAACGTTGTTTCAGCTGTCATCAGGAATATAAATATTACAGATACAAAACTCGTTACTGGTGCTATAGCACAACCAGTAAGACAGCGGACTCCCGTGCGGAAGACCCGGGTTCGATTCTGGATGTGAACATAATTTATTTACAGTTTATTTTTTACATTAATGGTGTATTTTTTAACAGTAAGATGCCCTTTTTTTTAGACTCGCCGAACGGCATTGAATTCACAGATTAAAAAAAAGATGTGGGTTCAACTTTCATTTTGGAACAATTTTTCAAGCAAGGGAAGGGAATTATCTGAGCATGCAGGAGAACTGACCCATCTTAAACCTTTGTCGGCTGTGCTGAAGAGAAAAGTACAGCATGCGCGCCTCGTGCACGAGCCTACTATTGATGCTGCCGTTACGCTTTTGGCCTGAGGGGGCAATCGCGAGCATAAAAATTCAGAATAGAATAGAATAGAATATCCTTTATTGTCAATGTACACACTCGTACAACGAAATGTGGAAGCCACTCCCGGGTGCAAGTTGAAAGAAACACATAACACTTAACGATTAAAATTCAATCAGGACAAATACTTCCCTAAAAGAAATACATAACCCTACAATAATTGAAATTCAGTCTGGACAAATCCTTCCTTCATAAACTATATAAAATTAGAACCATGCAGCATGTGTAGTTCCATCAGGGCTACACCTGCAAACATTAGATAAGATAAGAACATGTGCTTTCAAGTTAGCACGTTCTTTTTGTTGTTAAAAGCCATGATAGCCCTGGGAAAAAAACTGTCTCTGAAGCGGTTTGTCCTGGTCCTCTGGGATCTGTACCGACGACCTGATGGCAACAGCTGAAACAAGTGGTTCCCAGGATGGAACTTGTCCTTAATAATGTTGGAAGCCCTGCTGAGATAACGGGGGTATGCTAAGTCTTCCAGGCTGGGCAGCGAGCAGCCAATGATCCTCTGGACGGTATGTATAACCCTCTGAAGCACTCTCCTGTTTGCAGCAGTGCACCCTGCATACCAATAATTTTCCCGTATGCTAGGATGCTCTCAATAGTGGCTATGTAGAATGTCACCAGCAGTCTCTACTCCAGGTTGTTCCTCCTGAGCACCCTCAGAAAGTGGAGACGCTGCTGAGACTTTTTTGATACTGCTGTGGTGTTAGCAGACCAGGAGAGGTCATCAGAGACCACGACACCCAGAAACCTCATGGAGTGAACTCTTTCCACACAGTCCCCCTGGATGTAGAGAGGGTCTGAATCAGCTTTGTTCCTTCTGAAATCCAAGATGAGTTCTTTGGTTTTTTTGGTGTTCAAAAGGTCAGTCTGTTGACTTTATCTCTGTAGTTTGACTCATCCCCTCCAGAGATGAGCCCAACCACGGTGGTGTCGTCCGCAAACTTTATGAAGGTGTTAGAGAGATGGGTCCGAACACAGTCCCATGTATAAAGTGTGAGCAGGAGAGGACTCAGTACACATCCCTGAGGAGAACCAGTACTGAGGGTGTTGTTGCTGGACAGACACAGTTGGAAAATCCCAAATGAGCCAATTTCTGGACCAGGAACTCCGGAATGATGTGGTTAAATGCTGAGCTGAAGTCTAAGAAGAGCATTCTCACATAGCTTCCCTGGTGCTCCAGATGGTCCAGCGCAGTGTGAAGTGCTATGTTGATAGCATCATCTGTAGATCGATTAGCCCTGTAAGCGAACTGATGTGGATCTAGAGTAGGTGGCAAACTACCCCTGATGTGCTGGCAGACCAGTTTTTCAAAGCACTTCATCACAATAGGAGTGAGTGCGATCGGCCTGTAGTCGTTCAGAGTATCCACTGCTGTCTTCTTAGCAATGGGAATGATAGGGGGGTTTTGAGGCAGGGAGGTACGACGCATAGTGACAAGGACCTATTGAAAATGTTAGTAAAAACCCTCGCCAGTTGGTCTGCACAAGCACTGAGAACTTTCCCTTGGATTCCATCCGGGCCTGCCGCCTTCCTGGGATTAACTGACTTTAAAACGCGTCTCACTTGGTCCTCCTGCAGAGTCAGTGTGCCGTTGTTTGGGGCGGGTTGGGTTGGTATGGCCACCGCAGGCCTGGTTGTCTCAAAACGGGCAAAAAAATGGTTTAAGTCCTCGGCCAGTAGTCTGTCGTCCTTTGATGTTTCCCGTTTCCTGCCTCTGTAATTAGTAATGTGGTTTATTCCCTGCCACATTGCCCTGGGATCGTTGTTTGCAAAGTGATCCTCAATTTTCCTTTTGTAGGCTGCTTTGGCTTCTCTGATGCCTTTCTTTAATTCTGCCCTCGCTGCCTTATACGCTGCCTGATCACCCAACTTAAAGGCAGTGTCCCGGCTTCTTAGGAGAGAATTCACCTTACTAGTCATCCAGGATTTTTGGTTTGGGAACACTCTGATCCGTTTGTTTATGGTGACAGTTTCCACACAGTTCCTAATGTAGGAAAGTACGGTATCAGTGTGCTCCTGTAGATTTTGGCTGTAGAACAAGTCCCAAATAGTTGAGGAGAAGCAGTCACGTAGCTGTGAGATGGCTCCTTCAGGCCAGATTTTGATTATCTTTGGTTGGGG